CAGCAGGAGGTGAGAGCTTAAACTGGATGGCACCGAGAAGTCTGATGGAGGTAATCAGAGGTACAGCCATAAATGGGAGGGAGAAGCCTCAGCTCCATTGCAGGACCTTCCTAACAACTGATTGCTCTCCCTAGGCAAGAGACTGTAAAATAAAATGTGATCTCTCCTGTACCAGGGTCTTAATTTCTCTGCTGATGTTTTAGTCCTTTCTGCTCAAATGCTTTTGAAAACTCAGAATTCATATTATCTGCATAGCTAACATCTCCATTCCCTTTCCTTTTTCATGTTCGTTTACTCTCTCTCTACTTCTCATCTTCAATCAAGAAAAATCATGAGTCAGCTTTAATACCAGTGTCTTCATACCATCTGCAGGGAGCAGATTATGTGGTACATACCTACTCAAAATCAGCAGTCAGCCTGGCTCAGCAGGAGGAGGGGCTCTGCCTACATGTCCAGAGAATTTCTTCTCTGACCCCAGGTACTCAATGAGTTTAATTCTCTCCTTGTGCAATGGTATTAATGTTTATGAATGTTTGTGGGTACTGAACTGTGGTTGTATTCTGGCCATCTTCATCCTATGACCTTTATGGACAAGTGTTCCAGTGAATTTTTTTGCTTTCTTCCGTAGAAAATAACTCTTTCAAGACTACTTGTTAAAATTTGATCTGGCTCTTTGCAAAGACACGCACTGCTGTACTGAAAGATGGCAGCTCTTAAAGGGTTCTTCAGCTTCTGGAGCAGTTGCATTTCATCACAAGCTCAGGTCATGCCTGGCTTCTCACTCTTTGGGGAAATAAAGATCTCTTCTGCCAAGTCAGTGAAAACTCTTCCCTGCAGGGTCATCATTATTTTATCCCAAGAGTGACATGGCTCCTTCAGAGTAGTCACTTCTCTGCAACTATCTTTTGGCATTCACTTCTATCTAGAAATTACACATGAGCTCAGCACCATACACACCAGAGGAAAATAATTACAGCAATGAGGAAGTTCCCACATAAATTCACTAAGTATGAAAGACTGGTGAGTGGCCTGACAGGCCAGGAAACTACAAGTGACTTGCCTCCTTGTTGCACACATTCAAAATAATGCAAAACCCAGCACTCCTTGGAAAGTTTCTGGCTCTGGCATCCTCATTCCTGCACATTAGCATTGGGTTTCTCTCTCTGAAATGTATGAGTAAGGAGTGAAAGCAGAACTGGCTAGGCAAGCATAAAATATTTGAAAACACCAAGAAGAACAACATCACCAACTTTGCCCACCTACACTTGGGACAAACCCGTAACTCCAAACTCCGTCTGAACAACACAGCATCAATTGTTCAAACAACTCAGAAGATGGTATCGTCCTGGAATAAGTAAAGGGCAGCAAGCAGCATTATTGCGAATTATTAAAATGAAGTGACATCTGAAACATAAACAGAAATGTTCCCCCAACAACACTACAAAGACCCTCAAAGCATTTTCTCTCTTTAAAGTTTTCCCCTTCCACATTATTACTGAGTTTTATCCTTCAGAATATGAATGGGGAGTTAAGCCACCCCTGTGCACTGCACTCCCCACTGACAAACATATAAATGATTCACAGCTGCGTTCGTGAGACAGATCAATTAATCGTTGCAGCTCTCCAGTATTTATATTGGGCATCATTCAAGCAAGCCAGCTCTGAATCGATTACTCGTTGCTTCCAACAGCAGCAGATCCTGTACTTCATTTATACGATTATCTTTGTTGAGAACAGCATGGGTCATCCAGGTCGAAGGACCCTTGCTCCAAAGAAGAGTTGTATTTCATCACAGACAAGGCACCAAAACTTCCCAGGACCCAGGGAAA